AGAGAGAGAGAGAGAGAGAGAGAGAGAGAGAGAGAGAGAGAGAGAGAGAGAATGTTTTATGGAGCGGGTTGTCATGTATTTACTTATGTCATGTCTTATGAGTGTATGCGTGAGTGCACGTAACCTTTGTAACGTCTACTCCCTTTGGTAACGACCAAGACAAATTTCTTCCTTCGAGATGAATAAAGATTGTCAAAGTCATTGTCGTAGATCTATATTACAAATGTAATTGTTCATTGTTTCATTTGCTTATTACACTTACACAAAGACATTTACCTTTTTTCACTGACAGGCTTGAAAAAAACCCCCAAGAAGCTGCCTTGTATATAATTTCTATCTCTACTTCATATTATCACAAATAGTTGGCTTAATTTAAAGCTTCACGTTTTTGTTCTAACAAAAGAACGGTACAATAGCCGGTACATTTCGTGTTCATTAAAAAATAAGTGACACTTTAAAAAGAAAACAAAATGGCCCGATTGGAAGCAAGTTACTGGATTGCACTCACCAGCTTTCAAAAGTCAGAACCGTGAATTTGACAATGTAGGGTGGGTCTCTAAATGCGTGACGGCAAGAAGTCTAAAAGACAATGCGCTACCTTAGAATTACACAGTTCTATCGACAATTTTTGGCCGTTTTGAGTTTCTACGACCATGAGGTCAGAAACAAAATGTGAAGCGTGCTGCCAAAATGAGTTACTTCTCGCAATCCACAAACGGAAATACTGGCCAAAAGTCCACTCTATAGGGTCCGATTAGTAGATTTTCGTGATGATCGTGCCTTTAATTATTCCATACTTATAAATTGCAAAAACTTCACCTAATAGCGTGATGTATCTATTTCCATAAGGCTTGGATCCGAGAAGTAACTCATTTTGTCAGCACGCTTCTCTATCAAAATCGTAAGATTATTTGGAGTCGTTACCAAGATAATATTCAAAGTACTGCATTCGAAAAATTTTGACATGTTGTAAAACTCAAAATTGTTAACTTCAGATTTCTCAAAACGAATGATAAACCCACTCTTTTAAAACGAAACACTGAGAAAATTCTTTTACTCAGACTCTGAGGCTGAAGTTGAGACTTACATTTCCCTCGCGAATGCTGGCGTTGTGAGATGTGAGCACGCACTGCGGAATGTGTGGGACTTATAAATCTTGGCCGCCGCAACCTGGTCTTGTCTGGAGTCGTGTGTGGTTGCGAACCACCTTCAAGTGGGATTGGGAGTAAAATGAATGTAAGCTAATTGAAAATGAATACAGCGGTCTCCGGCTTAAAACCTGTTCTTAGGGAGACAAAAAAGTGGTATCTACACCAGTGCACACTGCAGAAAGTTCAAGCAAATCACTTTTGGTGGAACTGTAGTTTTTCTTTCTTTCTTTCTTTCTTTCTTTCTTTCTTTCTTTCTTTCTTTCTTTCTCTCTTTATGTATTTCTTTCTTTCTTTCTTTCTTTAATTAATTA